GTAGTATAGTATACTTCTACATTTCTTTTTATTGCTTTGCATGAAAGGCCAAAATCAGATTTGGTCGGTTTTAATCTGCGGAATCGGATGCTTCGATTTTTCCGACGTATTAGAGTTTTATTGCATTGACTGGTGTTATTGATCTGGTTGAGTTTCTGTCTATGACAGCATTTCCTGTGAATATTGTTTTATGTTTTATCTCTTCCTGTGAATAGTGATTGTTTTATCCGTTCATGCCTGTTTTCAGCGAACATATGTGTTTCGATGGTTTTATCTGTTCTTCGAATAAATATTCTGCCAGGGAGTCATGTAAAGTTGGGAGTTCACTGGACGGACACCGTTGATTCCTTGACACATTGTAGGTCGTGGATGCTTGAGGAGCTAGTTTTGCTACTTCCTAGGCGCGTCGAGCCTTCAAGAGAAGACTTGTAAAATCTAGTGAAGCTGTGAAATGATACCAATCAGTTCTTACGAGGAAGGTCGCTCAAGGCGTGCCCCGCTTTTTCAAAATGGTTTTTTGCATTTTGTAGGGGCTTGAACATGACCACAGAAGTGGGGTTCGTTTTCGCTGAGCGGCCCCAGGAACGCCAAAAAAGGGACGTTTGCGTTATGCACGTTTACGTTTATGCACCCCTTTATGAGAGACGTTGAGCGCTACTGGCGCCAAATTGCGTCGACGCCGAAACTAATTGTTAGAGGCCACTTGTCAACTCTTTAAGAGAAGTGAATGCCATACAAATACATTTACCTACGGTGACTCGACGAGTTTGCTCAGCTACACAAGAGTTCACAGGTTTCGTCAGACTGAGACTTGTTAAACCGAATCTAGTGAAGCAGCAAAATTCCCACACCCCCTCGCCCCTCCACTAGGGAAGGCAAAATAGTTGTAACTTACGTCGAGTACCAGAGTTAATTTAACATGCACCCCTTTCGATTGGAGCATCGGATTTCATGTAGACAATGGGCATGGTAGACACTTATGTCTATTTTTGGTCATACATTGTCTGTTCTCGACCAATACCACCTAAAATCGTCGTCATTAGGCGCGACATCACGCTGCGCGGTGAATTACGATTCTCTTGCCACATACCTTCCCCCCTCCCCGTCACGAAGTGCGCTCTCGTTTATGTACTGAAGGTGCACGTGAACGCGAGTTTTGTGTTTTTTCTCCTCTTGACTTTTCCTATTTCTTTCTTTCTGAAAAGAAGGTAAATTGCGTAGGTCAGAGCACGTAAAATACAATAACCATAAGCAGCTAAAGTGACGACTTGTTAGATGGATGATTTCGTCGTGTACAGCCAATAGCTTAGGAGATGCAGCACAAAGCCGAAAAGACTGTTTGATTGATTGAATTACATAGGCGAAAATTTCAAGGTTATTTAAGCTCGGTTCGACATTGACGTCTTAACCGAAGAATCGAGACGCTCGCGAGTCGAAGGCAGCTGCAACTATAATTGTATGCAATTTTTCTTGCAACTTAATAGTTCAAGCAAGGATTCTCAGCGCTAACGACTGCGTTGGCACTTTGAAGACCTGTGCAAGCGGGTCTGGGCCTACGTTCATTTCTTGGCGTCAGGTACGGCAAGCTTTCGAGCGTCAGTATACCGACAGCAACAGCTACTAACTAAATCATGGATATGTTTCGAGTGGAATCTATTAGCCGAAGCCGCGTTTCGCGAGCATCGAGCCTTTGAGCGCAAACTGCCGCTTCGAAAAACGCTCCTCTAAGCTGATACCAGGCGTTCGCCTAGCATTACACTATTCCATGCTTTCCTGGTCACTTGTGTGCGCAAGCTTGCTCAGATCGATATCTATACTTCCTATCGCCGTTTTAGCGTACCTCGAAACGATCAAAACGCGTGCGCTGGCGTACGCTAAAGCAATGTATGAGAGGAGCCTCAATCTCGGCCGAATAGAATCCACTGTACGTGAAACCGGTGCGCTTACGCTGATGTCATTCTGCTCCCCTCCCCCATTTCCATAGGCCATTTAGCTTCGCGAGTTTCGTCACGCTGCCCCGCACGACAAGTCCCTCACTCGCCTTGCGCACACAGCCGGCAAAACGCGAAGTATAATCACCCGTTTATGTTAGGTTCAGGCCACAAGTTTCATCGTATGGTGTATAGTGCATTTAACTTCGCGAGTTCTTCGCTCTAACCGCACGACAAGTCGCCACTTGCTTGCGCGATCACAGCGGCAAAATCGCGAAGTATAACCACCCTGTTACGGTTAGATCCGGGCAAAAGTCCTCATCTTATTGTGGTAGTTCTAGTTCTGCTGAAGAAAAGCGACTTGAATTCTCCCGCCTTATGGTTGTTAGCTTCGAAGAGGTCTCTGAACATAATTGTTAGTAATGTTAAGGTAAGGAGTTTCGCATGGTTCTCCCTCCTCCAAATGTGACGGGGAAGCTGCACCTCGGTCATGCCTTGACCGTCACTATTGAGGACACATTGTGCAGACATCACAGAATTAAAGGAGGCGTAGTTAGTAAGCTAGTTTTACTTGAATAGGAACATCAGCTTGCCTAAAATTCTTTTTAGGCTTCTTTTTTATTTAGGCTAAATGGATCCCGGGTTTTGACCATGCAGGAATTGCAACGCAAGTGGTGGTTGAGCAAGAACTTTGGAAGAAGAAAGGCTTGAGACGTGATCAACTGACTAGGGAAGAGTTCGTCGAACAGTGTCGGGAGTGGAGCGAAATGTAGGCTTTCGAAGTCATTCAGTTTTTTATAGTGTCCTGTATTTTTTCGGAAAAACACCTATAGGTAGTGGTTCATTGCAGCCAAATTTCCTCTTTCTTTCAGGAACTCTACTGCAATTCGTAAACAGCTGAACATTCTTGGGGCAACTTTAGACTGGAAAAACGCTTACTATACACTGAACGAAGTAGGTGGCCTTGTCATGATCCAATTAAAATTTTGCTTTGTCTTAAAATCATTAAATTGCAAGAAGTTCTCGTCAGCTGTCATTGAAGCGTTCATCAGGCTTCACGAGGACGGATTAATCTATCGGGACAAAAGGATAGTAAATTGGTGTCCCTCCTTACAAAGTTCCATATCAGATCAAGTCGAAGTGGAGTTGAGAGCATTGATCATTTTTCGAGAGGGGGGTGTGGAGCAGTGGGCTGATAGTTGGTGCTGCGCGTGCCGGCGGGGAGGGGTGGCGGGGTGCGGGGTGTGATTTGCTTTCATTTAGACAGAGGTTCTCTCGCCGTCGACTTGTCGTCACGCGACAAAAAATGTGGGTGGAAGGTTGTTCCAGTTCTGAAGGAGGAGAACGAGTCAAGTACAAGTGGGGGACAATAGTGTACCGCTAGTCGAGGGTTAATTACCCTTTAGAAGGTGGTGTCTGATGGGTGACTTTATCCTCTCTTTTTGCCTTGCTATGACTCTTGTTTTTATATGTTTTCTCAGTCCATCTTTCATGTTTTGGATACATTATAGGTTTGTTTCTGTTGCCACTACTCGTCCAGAAACAATGTTTGCGGATGTTGCACTCGCTGTACATCCAGAAGATAGTCGGTACTCTCATCTTGTGGGGAAACTTGTAAGTACAACTTTCCTGGAATTAGTCTACACGGTAATCATCAGTGAAGGCTATTCGTGATTTGTTGCTGGCAAAGATCTGAGTTGATTAAGGTGCGTCACCCTCTTTGTTCCGATAGGAAACTTCCTATTGTTGTCGACAAAGCTGTGCAAATGGACAAAAGGAACCGGTCTGGTGTGCTTTCACTTCGTTACCCATTCTTTAAATACACGATGGGCGGCGTATTCGGGACGGGTGGTATTTGCACTATCACGTGCTTCATCTAGTTCCACCCACACCACACACAAACAGACACACACACACACACACACACACACACACACACACACACACACACACACACACACACACACACACACACACACACACACACACACACACACACACACACACACACACACACACACACACACACACACACACACACACACACACACACACACACACACACACACACACACACACACACACACACACACACACACACACACACACACACACACACACACACACACACACACACACACACACACACACACACACACACACACACACACACACACACACACACACACACACACACACACACACACACACACACACACACACACACACACACACACACACACACACACACACACACACACACACACACACACACACACACACACACACACACACACACACACACACACACACACACACACACACACACACACACACACACACACACACACACACACACACACACACACACACACACACACACACACACACACACACACACACACACACACACACACACACACACACATGGTGTCACAGGTTTCATCAGGCTGGTTCACAAACTCAGCCTGATGAAACCTGTGAATCTGGAGCAGGCTCGTCTATCCACGGGAAGTAGCAAACCCGCGGTCACCGAAGCCCGCAGTTGGGTAAAACCGATTGCTTTTGATTGGAACTAGATTCACTCACTATAGTTGAGTCATGATATTAGTATGGACTTGTAATAATCAACAAATTGTGTGCTTCTGTTCATTCATCAATTCAGGTGTTTTGAAAATCACTCCTTGTCACGACGCCCTTGATTGGGAGATTGCGTCACGTCATCGGGAAGAAATTCTTGGTCAAGATCCGAATGCTTTGACAAGAAGTTGTGTTGATATCCGTGGCAGACTTAACGAAGAAGCAGACGAGTTTGCTGGTCTTGATCGCTTCGTTGCAAGAACCAAGGTAAGGGTATTGAACTCTTGCGAAATCGAGTATCATACATAGCTTATTTTCTTTTCTTTCAAGGTTATTGAGAAGCTGGTCTCTTGTGGGCTCTTTGAAGGCACTGTGAAGCACGACGGCCAAATTAGCCTCTGCAGTCGAACAGGTGGTGCATTCGTAGATTTGTAATTCTTACGTCAGTACATTTTTCTTTTGAATAAGTTGTATAGCTTTTGATTGAAATTTGGTTCACTCACTATGGTTGAGGACGTTCTGTTTCGCTGCTCTTCTGTAGCACAGCTAGCCACAACACGCTACAAAACACCCATCGCTAGCCGTGGACATATATTCGTCTCGCCGACTCCCAGGGAGAACCGCAACAAGTCATTTTGGCCACTTGCAATGAGATGTTTGTTGTTGTATGTGCCACGAGCCGCTGAACCCAAATCTGTCGTCGGAGTTCGAGGGACCATTCTCTGAAGGAATGGAATTCTCGGAACAGTTCCACTCACTATGGCACCCACTGAGGCGGAACTGGTGTAGTTGCAAGTGGCACGCTAACCATGAGACCGATCCAAGCATCAAATCTGGGATCGGCTCCCGCCCAAGCCTTCTACAATGCGAGAACGGTAAAGAGGCCCTAGATTTGTCTGGGAAGATAGGAACAGCAACTTGTTTATTGAATGCTTCTGAGTTATCGCTACAGGAGTCTTGATTTCAAGTGTACTTTTTTGTCCTTAGTCCTACCTACTCGAAGAGATCAGACAAATGTAGTCCTGCTCTCTCTGTCAAAACTAGTCTACGTCTCCATG